CAGTGCAGACACCGCTACCTTCCCCTTCTTTGCCGCCTTAAGGGACTTAGAGGAGCCCTTCTTTGCGGACTTGTGCTCTTTACTTGGTTTGGCCTTCTTTTTCACCGGCGTGGAAGCAGAGGATTGCACCTTTGATGCCGGTGGTTTCGACTTCGGTAGAGCGGTATCGCCGGAGCCATTGATGTCAAAGGCCTCTTGGAGTCCATCATTGTGGGAGGATGCAATGCCAACTCAAGGAGCGCCACTTTAAGGCGCACAGCTCTATTTTTTCGTGTCTGGTTGGAAAAGCGAGCACAGTGGTGACAGGACTCAGGTCAATGAGACTCTCCCAGACAAAAAATACACAGGGTGTGACAGTCAGGTGGAGCAAGTTTACTGCCGCAACCCTTGCACCTGTTAAAAAAGCCCCACTTCTTCTCCATAAAAATAAACAGCGAAAAAGAAAGAAGGGGTGAGAAGGGGGGTAGCCCGAAGGCCACACTGAGGTAAACCGGCAACTTTCCCCTTAGTTGTAAAATAAAGGTTTTGTTTTAAGTTTTTTTAAAGAACAAACAAACACTGAAGAAAAAAGGATAAAGTGAGAAAAAATCCGAAGAGCCGTGAAGCAAAAGCCAGAAAAGCGAACCGATCAGACCGACGAGAAACAGGTCTTTCCAACGCGGCGGTAAGAAAGGAACTGGTGGGATGTCCGCGCCCTCCCCTCTGGGCATGCGCGGTGGGGTTCCTGCGCATGCCCGAGGTCTGGGCGCGAAAATCCATTAAAGAGCTTGCTACAATGCTGATCGATCCAGCGCGTGCGCACTAGACCCCATGGGTGTGAAGCACAGAGACCACATCGAAGATTCTTTGTTTAATGATAGCATAGGCTTGTTTATCTGAAAAGGGGGCTAAATAATCTGGGGATATTCCCATTGTAGAGAGTTTATCCTCTACATATCTAAGCCACGGAGAGAGATGGGACTCAGTTAACATGTGAGTAATAATACTTTTAGCTTTAGCATGGAAATGAAGTTTAAGCCAGAACTGAGTTGTTATCAGCCATGCTCTGGTCAATAGAAGCCTTTGATTGGTTTCTAAGCATAAAGCTGCATAAGGAACACAAGAGAGAAGTCCAAGAATTTTCCACAAGAATCTGGACTGAATTCTTTCCAAGGCTTCAATCCAGATTGGTACTCCGTAGAATAATTGAGCAGCTAATTTGGCATTAAAAACTTTTAAAGGCCGTCGGCACGTACTGGTTACCCCTGGTATAATGGAAATGTGTAATTGCCACAGCAATGTTGGTCGCTGCCTCAACTGCTCTCTCTTTATGATAGACCCATTTGGTGTTATAGTAAAAGTGGATACCCAAATACTTAAAGCTTTTGACTTGTTCAATGAAATGGCCTTCAATATTCCACCTGGATGGCTTCCAACTCTTACTGAAGATCATAATTTTGGATATTTCAAAATTCAGAACTAGCCTATTCTTTTCACAAGTCTACAAAGCTCTTCAAAAAGCATTTCAGCCCTATACAAGTTAGAGACAATAGCACTGTGTCATCAGCATAAAGGAGTAAAGGGGTGGGGATCGAGCCAAGTTTAGGACTGTGACCATTGATCGGATCTAAGGTGGGTGCCAAATCATTTATAAATAGGTTGAATAGAAAGGGTGCTAAAAGGCAGCCCTGTTTGACTCCTATATTAATTGGAATTTTGTCAGGTCACCAACGTTGTTAACTTTGGCGGTCGTATTCAGTGTTCCCTCTAAGCTGAGTTAGTGTGAGCTAGCTCACAGTTTTTAGCCTCCGGCTCACACATTTTTGACTTCGCTCAGGAAGGATGGCTCCAGAGCATACTGATTTATGCAGTAGCTAAATCACTCGCTCACAACTTTAATGCCAGTAGCTCACAAAGTAGAATTTTTGCTCACAAGACTCCACAGCTTAGAGGGAGCATTGATTATGATGAAGCTTCATTATTAAATGTAAAAGCTTCGGTTCCATCCCTGTCAACTTAAGTTTCTCCCATAGACGTTCTCTTATGATTGAATCAAAAGCACCTTTTACATCTAGAAAGGCTGCATATACTTTGGTGCCTTTTTGACTCTTATACTTAACAAGATGCATAAAAGTCACACAGTGATTTAGGATGGATTCCCCTTTACAAAAAGCTATTTATTCTTGACTCAGAATTCCTTGTTCTAACATCCAAGATCCAAGTTTTTTAATCAGTCATCTAGCATAAAGTTTCCCAATAACAGAGAGGAGGCTTATCGGACGGTAATTGGATGGTAACTGATAATTACCCTTTTAAAAGATGGGAACCAGTATTGCATTTGTCCAGGACTCTGGCATTATTCCTGTTCTATTGACTATGGTAAAAAAAAATCTGCCAAGAAGGTGGCCCACCAGTCCGGATTTATTTTAACTATTTCAAGTGGAATTGCATCTGGGCCAGGGGCTTTTCTTGGCTTTGGGGAGCTATATGCATTCTTACTTCATGAATTCAGCCTCGGCAGTTTCAAAAACACAGGATGTTCTAAAAAGTAAAAAAGGAGAGTTTCATGGACAACCAGGATGCTGTTTTTTATTTGAAAATTTATTGAAAAAATGCAATACAAGTAGCAAGATTGAACACTTATGTCTAAATGCTACATTCACTTTTCTTTCAACTACAAAAGTCCAAAATAACAGCTAATTAAACTATAAAGTTTATCTATTTTTTTAAACTCTGTTCCAATATTTTCTATTTTTTAAAAGAAAGATGTAACTCCCTAGTCTATACAATTCACCATTCTCTTTAAAAAATTTACAAAGCTCCTTCATATGTGCAGTGAAGTCTGTGACTGATCATGTAAAAAAAGAACAAAAACAAACCCAATGTTAAGAACACCAAGGGTTAATTTTTCTCTGCATGAAAATGGCAAACCACAGTTTATGAAAACCCGCAAACAACTAAGATTTATTAGTACTTTAATAGTTGGCCTCATGCTGGTGTCTGGCATGCGAAACTGTATTTTCTTTCTTCCCAGTTTGGTCAGTATAACTCCCCAAGCTCCTGCCTTCCTTTTGTACAAATATTCATACATAAATAGCTTCCATCTACTATACAGTCAGGACAGCTTCTGGATGACCTTCTAAATGAGGGACAAAGTTCACTGGGGACATCTCTCAGTATTATAAATAAATAAATCACATTTCATTAATGCACAGCCGATAACAGTGGTGCTGGTCCCCAGTTGTTCTAAGGGGTACTAGAAGCCAAATTTACTCTGTGGGCTTCAATGTGAGGGTGGCATTTTTAAGGAAGCAAGTAGCCTGCTCAGATGCCAGCTTCACAAGAAATGGCGGTACTGCACGTTCGTTAGCAGGCAGACAGGAAGATACTTTCCTGCTGTCTTAATTGTAAGCTGTTTTCATAGCGCCTGCTGTGAAAAGCTAAGCCAGCCTGGCAAATAAATGAAGTCATCAAGCCTGAAACTCCCCCCCCCCCACCAGCCTGCTTGTCCACATACCTATGTGAAATCACTTGTGGCACATCGACAGCCTGAAAAGACCCCACCAACTCTTGCTCAGTTAAGTAATTCTGCCCTCTGGCCTGGTTGCCAGGAAATAGTCTTTACTTGCCCACAGGCGATAAGGCCAGGGGACTGTTCTTCAGACTGCATGAACAGACCAGAGATTAAGCAAAGACCTTCCCCTACAGCACATGTTTTCAGAGGAGCATCTTTATAGCTGTGCACTGGCTGCAATTCTGCAGAAGGGCAGAAGAATGTTGCACCAGGCAAAGATGTCAGCTTCCACAGAAACGAAGGTTTCTTTTTTCATGTATTTTTAAAAGCAAGTTTTCCAGCCCTTGTGGTTGCCAAGTGTGTGGCTCTGCCTGGGGAATCTAGAAGCCAGAGGAGGCACTGAGTAAGATCTTCATCAGAGGAAGACATTTCAGCACCTTCTAAAACTCCTTGCCTCTCTCTCCAAGGATTAGCAAAAATCAACTATTCAAATTACAAAGTCATGCTAATTTGTTTCGCTTGCATTAATTACACATAGCAGAATTCTGCCCCCCCCATAGAAGTAGTAGTGTGCACGTAGCCCCTGAATGTATCCATACATCCAATGTACAGGATGGGGGAATTTTCTATAGGAATTTAAAATCTCACACTCAAAAGCAAAGCAAGTCCTGCTTGTACTACCTGGAAATGTTTCAGCTCTTCAAGTACAGCTGCGACTAACAAATCCAGTTTTAAAGACACAGGGAATGAACAAATCAAGCAACATGGCAACTTCCTATGAGCTGTTTCACATAAAATGTCCCTCTGCTGTTGCATCTGCTCTTAGGGCTTTACCTCTCTCACTCCCTACCTTCCTTCCACTCCCCACCCCACCCTGTATTTCTCCCTGATTTGCTTTATACTTTCCTGTCTCAGTGCTGCTCTTTGCAAGTTTCCCGCAGTGATTTGACTCCTTCCCTTGAGATCTGGAACTTTTAATAAGAGGAGTTTCATTTAAAAAATACTGCTACACATACAACTGGGGGGGTGTGTGTCCTACAAATAGCTGGCCTTTGTAGAAGAGAGCCCTTGGGGTTGTGCCTGATCAAACCCTACCACTACCATCAAATGGGGGTATGAGAAAGACATGTGTCTTAATGGCCTTTGCTGTATGCAGAGGAACCTGGGATGTCCAAAGAAGGTGGAGAGCTCTGAAAGAGAAGCAGAAAGGTCAATGGCCAGGGAATCTCTCTTTACGTAAGGGGCACATACATGGTGATCAAAACCCCTGGAAGTAAGAGTGTTCCACAGAACAAACTGTTTGTGGTATACTGAAATAACAGCAGAAGGAAGGACAAACCATACTCTTAAAGGACAGATTGAAAAGCAACAGCGCAGGGGAGCTTAGGGGAGGGGCCGTGGCTCAGTGGTAGAGCATCTCCTTGGCATGTGGAAGGTCCCAGGTTCAAACTCTGGCATATCCAGTTAAACAAACCAGGCAATAGGTGCCTGAGACCTTGGAGAGTTGCTGCCAGTTTGAGTACTGACTTTGATGGACCAATGGTTTGATTCCTTATAAGGCAGCTTCACTTGTGTTCAAATGACACATTGCTGAATTACACCAGTAAGATTCTAAATTGGATCCTAGCAGACTTTTTCCCCACTGGTGAAAGAGAGAAAGGACCCCATTCTGATGATCAAAAAGCTAAACCAGGATTTGGTCCTCTTTCCTTTAGGGAGAAGAAACTCTTGTAAGACTGCTGTTTCATGTTTTTAACATTAGAGGTGAAAACACTGGAGGTGAAAAACCCACAAGAACTACAAAGAGCCAGAAGTAGAGAAAGTAGAACATCCAAGGTCTTCTTCCATAATCTATAAAGTGCTAAAATTCTATTAAATGCTAAAATTCTAGAAAATCCATGGATTATGGGGAGATTAAAGAGAAAGATCCAAAGAAACCCCCTAAGAAGCCTCACAACCCAGCCCTAGGCATGTTCAGTCAGAAGAAATTACCACTGTTATCAGTGGGGCTTACTCAACAGCTAAGTGTGCACAGGATTGTAGCCTCTGAGTGGCAGCTGCCATCTTTGGAAGCTGACTATGGCTGCCAGCACCCCACCGCACATCAGAGCAAAGGTACTCAAATAGTGCTGAATTCCTTCCCCTGACCCAACCAATCTTCTCAGCTCTAACTAAGTCCATAGCCTTGAGTACTTAAATTAAAATGAACTCAAGTCTAGAGTGGGGTGGAGAGAAAGATTAAATTTGATATGACAATTCTAGCAAGCAAAGTTACAGTCAAACAGTAAACTGGAGTTTTCAGTTCACTGAATTCAAATTCTTTTAACAATATGCCTGGCTTTTTTAATAGCTGAAACAGCAGAAAGCATTTAATTTCCACTTCTCAGAGCCTAGAATTAAGCTTACAAGCAGAGCCTACCCCTCTACGGCTCCTGCTACGTGGCACACTTGACACAATTTCAGCTTTACACTTCTCTCAGAAATAATATTGCTCACAACTCTTATGGTGTATATCTTACAGAGTTTTCAAATACTGCTGGAAGGAAGAGTTGGGTATGCAGTTTTAGTTTTGCCATTGGGGGTGGGTGGGGGAGAATACTGCCCAGCTAAGTAAAACAAGAAGGCAGAGCCCAGCCAGAAAGAAGCAGGACATCTTCCAATGGTGATTCTTCTCATTCATCGCAAAAGTGGCAGCAACATACACAGAAACTGAATCTCATGTCCAATTAGAATATTCATGTTTACTTTTAAAAAAACATGATTTGTGTACAAATGCAAGTTAAAAGCTTCAATTTAAAAATAATGCATCTTGAGGAAAATCCAACCTCCTCCATTTACTGTTGGTCTTCCTGTGATCCTGCACTGTTAGCAAGTCAGATCACATTTGCGTTAAGTGACTGAGACCTGCAGCAGTCAATCCTGGGCTCTGTTGATTCTTTCCAGTATGACAGCGAAGGAGACTGAGGGAGCAATCCACTAAGTCCTGCTGCTCTGCACCTTCCACTCATTTTAGCAAGGTTTAGGTAAGGTATTCCACACAATCCCATTAAAATGAAGGAAGGGCGGCCAGCAGCAGCAGTATGCTCTGTTAGGTGCATCCCAAAAGAACTTTCATACCATCTCACCAAAGAACATTAGAATGATAGAATTACATATGCTTAACTGCTTTCCAAATAGCCTGAGTTTTAACAGCCATCAGTGAAAATAACCTAGTTTTTGATATCACACCTGCTTAGAGAATACAGTCTTAAGAATATTGGATTGTCTCTCTGAGGGATGACTCAAAACTGCAGTTACAAATCATACATCCCTTGTGTGGACAGCTGGCCAATATGCTCGCCAATGTGCTAAGTTTAAATAGTGCTTCTGAAACCCAACAAAATATTAAGCTTATCCTACTAAAAAAACAAAGCAAAACACAAATGACTGGGGGAGAGGGGAAAACCCCAAAACTATTACTGCAAGTTACAGCCCTACTTCATAGCATTCAGAGTCCAAACCTCTCACAAAGTCATTTCTAATAGGTTTGATTTAATGGGGAAAAATGATAGATAAGATTGATACAGTCTTCCAAGAAGTCCAAAATAATATGAGAGAGAAAAGGGGTGGGGAGTTTGAAGGCAAAGGTTCCTTATCATAGCTCACTGAAAAGCTCTAAAATTCACAGTATAAAAGTGAAGCAAATTCCATTCTCTCTCAATGCAGACATCCTACTGCAATAGTAGTGAATGTATTACTCCACAGCTTCTGGCTATGTTGAAGCATCTAGAGGCTCACAAGTCCACAACGCAAGAAAAATCCAGACGCAAAAGAGGGAGACATACCTGTGAGTGCCTTGTATAAATGTGTATGTATCGGTATAAAAACTTCGGGACAAGTCACAAGAGGAGAGCAAAAACTGGACAAACTGGACTCTGATTTGTTGACTTTCCTAGTAAGAAGATCCACTTCTAGATTATTGACATCCCCACACTATAAGAATGAGTGAGAATTCACTAAGTGAGAATGCAAGGGGCAGAAGGATAACAACAATGAGGGGGCAATGCAGTTAAAAGAAACCCCCTTCAGCAAGCTTTATGATACTTCCAGCTTCATGATACAGGTTGAAAAAATAGGTATTAGGAAAAGGAATGCCAAAAAAAAAGGAAAAGGAAAAAGAAAACCTGTAAAAAACACACTTCAGTACAGTGAAAAGTATGGCATACTGTCGGTCACAATATATAAAAATGATAATCAAAAAAAAAGGATCCACTGTATTGAGGAGAATCCCAAGTAAACATCAAAAAGCCCAACTCCAAGTAGTAAGTGATAGAATGTCTGATAAAGTAACTCTGGCAAGTTTGAGGTCATGGTGCTCCAAGGTAGTTTCCTTGTAGTTTTGCTGGTATATTTCAGGTGGCCTTTCTCAGATTGAAATAGACATTGCCTGGGGAAGACACAAATGTTATCAATCAGTTTGGACATTCTGCAAGATCTGCACAGCAGTTTCTAGCGTAACCCTGTAAATAGGGCACCAATTCAACACAGGCACGTGCATGGACACACTTGCCCTCATACTCTGCGTGATTGGTGCATTAGTAAACCGGGGCTATGAGGTCCCGAATACAAACACTTAGTAGAGATATGGCTCTAATTCTAACAACAACAAAAAAGTGGCAATGGACCAAAGACTCTTACTTTCTTTTGCACATATAACATTTTGTGCGATACAGAATGAGCCATAAAATTGAAACCATATCTAACTGAAGGCAGCCTCCAATGCTGGCACCAAACCATCCAAGAATACTTCCATTTCTGCCCTCTAGTGTGAAATACATGTTCAGAAATGGCAGGTGCAACTATGATCCTATGCTTGCTTACTTGGAAGTCAGTCCCACAGTCAGCACTGATCTACATATAACTAATTCAGAGAGTGGGTGCAATTTGCAGTAAAAAACTGTAAAAATTTGCAACTCATCTGCAGGGAGCCTCTATCCCCACATTACAAAGCTGCATAACACAGCACTATAATACTGCAGATTTTAAAAAGTTGAAAATTACTTTTGGCTTTATTCTAGGGTCAAGACATATAACAGGGATGGCAGGAACCACAAGCCAGCTGTAAAAACTGGCAAGATGTATTGTACCCTCAGGCTGTGCATTGTACAGGGCAAGTCTGCATTTAAAGGACTATACAAGTCTGTGCATTGTGCCATAAAATATATTTTCGAGCATCTACACTCTGCAGCTGAGCCTTTAAAGCAGCAAAAGGAAATTGATTTTTCAAGCTGGCTCGACATCATCTGTTTCTCTTGAAGAAAGGTGCACTATAAATGAAATAAATAAAGTCCCAGAACCAGGCTTCTTTCTTATACATATAAAATGGCCAAGCCGTCACACCACAGCTGATTCTTTTTGTCCATAAAAAATAGGCTAGAGGTCCAGAATTAGACCTTGGTCCACCAACTGCTTATCTGTACGCTGTAGAGCTTTTGCTCTTAACAATTTCACATTATGATATTGAGAGGAGGTGTTAAAAATGCAATGGCTTTCCTGATAAAATTCTTAAAATAAATAGTCCCCATTTACAATGGAGGCAAAAAAAATCTGACTGAGCTTCAGAATGCACCATTGCACATAAAAAAAGAACATTTACCTTGATATACATATATATAATTATATATATAGCTGGTCTTGCTATTCTGCGATCTCCGTCTCCTGATGGACCACCACCTTTGTCACAGACATGTCTGGGTGTTGCTCTTTTGCTTCTTTGATGGCCTGAACCAGAACCTGAAGGATGATGCCATAAACAAACTGATTGGAATTGTTTTCTGGGGAACCTGCAGTCTTTCTATTAATTGAATTCCTATCCTACTCATTTTTCAGGGAGCACATGGCAGCTCTTCCATTGTATCTTGACAACCCTGTGAGGTAGGTTAGACTGACAGAGGCTGTGATCACACACACTAAATAATCCACTTTCAATGCACTTTCCAACTGGATTTTACTGTGTGAATTGGCAAAATTCAATTCAAAAGTGCATTGAAAGTGGATTATTTAGTGTGTGTGATCGCAGCCTGAGAGTAACTGACCCAGTATTACCTCGTGAGACTCATGGATGAGTAGAGATCTGAACTCATTATCCTTCTGATCCAAGTCCTACACACACAGGCTCTAGTCTGGGCCATGACTTAGTTCCAGCAGGTACTGCCCACATAACAATGCCAATAGCTACAGTGTTCTACATAAACAGGGGTACTATTCTGTACTAGCTTCTACAGTTGATGATACCTTACCACCTCAAAAATCACAGATATTTTTTCCAAAATTTTAATTTTGGTCATGAAATTCTCAAAATGAAACGAACTGCAATCCTTCACTTTTGTTCTGACCATGTTTTGCTTCTGTCATGAGGGGGGGACGACGACACATTTCCAAATCAAATGTACGGCAACAAGGACTTCTCTGGCTTGAAAATGAATTCCAAATCTGGCTTTTAAAGTTTTGTCTCACTGCACAGAAACACCAAATTGTTTCAGAGACCCAAAGGATATTCAGTATACCTTAATTGATCCTCCAGCTGCACCACTGATAAAGATGCCTGAAACTGCAAACATTCAGAACAGTCACTAAAATAAAAATTTCTTACCTGATCATGATCAATGTCTGCATCTCCTGTGATGACAATTCTTTTCTCAATTCGTGTTTCTGAAATTCCACCTTTCACCGTCTGTTATGAGAAAGTGACCATTAACAATGACACTTACAACTGCAAAGACAGAAGGGTCAAGACCACTGAAAGACTTGCAAAGGCAGAGGGGGGGCACCCAGTTAAATATGTTGCTAGAGCATAATAAGAGGAGAGCAAGAAGTCTCTTTTGGCATTTCAGTTCCACTATTTCTATCAGTGTTAGATGACAGTTTTGAATGATCTGGCTACTGTATTTTACAGAAACAAGATGTCAGGAGTCCAAAAATCATGTACAGAAATACAAGTCTTTGAACTATGGTCTGACTTCTTTATGAGGATGAATACTCACATCTACAGACAGGGCAGATTGGAACTGGTTCTAAGAAGCAACCATGGGAAGAGAAAACACTGGGAGCAGTCCTTACTAAGGTTTGGTTTTCTCCCAGAACTGACACTAGCAGACATTTATGTATGTATTTAGGAGATGTTTTAATCCCAGTTTCTGACAAATCTCCTAAATATATAATTTAATCTCTTACAGATGCACACACTCCTCATATGCCAAGAGATTTGCAGCTAATCTTCTTTATCCAAAGTAAGACATAGGCAGAGATATATAAGCAGCTGGTAACATATTTTACCTACCAGAAAAAGAAGAAACTGTGAGGTCAACTGCGCTAGAAAATATTTCAATAACAATCACGAAACGATAGAACATTCCGGAGACCATCGTCACACCATTTTCAACTGCCTTGTGCATTTATATGATTTTTGTACACTTTTTTGTATAAATATTGTGATTGTTATTGAAATATTTTCTAGCGCAGTTGACCTCACAGTTTCTTCTTTTTGCGGTCTGTTCTGTGACTGTGACCATCAATTTTGAGCAACATATTTTGCCTGACATGAAAAGAAGTGGTTAAACTGCATTAATGTACTGTTCTTATTTTACTGGAAAACCTATCCTTATTCCTATTCTGTTAGCCCGACTGAAATATAATCCAATAAACCTGATCTTGCCTATCAGTCAAGGTGCTTATGGAAGAAAAACAAGACCGAGATACTTCCGTTGTCTCTGTTAACACATTTATTAAACAAAGAGGAATCACTCTAATATTGTTAAATTTCATGTCCTAACAGTGGAATCATACATGAACACAATGCTACTAGTTTAAGCAGGCATCCTTGGCTAAAAGAGGAGGATAGGAAGGAAGCACGGTGATCACAAATCCGCATTTGGGGAATGGGATGAGAAAAGGTTTACCCACCAGATGGGCATTCAGTAGACCAATGCAGGCTACAGTCTAGAGATTCCTTAGTCAGTAATAGCCATGTGTGGGTATTCTTATCTGAGAATTTTAGGGGCACTCGAAGCCTATGTCAGCCTAGGGCTTCAACCCACATTGTACCCCCACACACACACTCATCCACAAAGCAGATGGGAATGATGTTCTATGGTTCACAGGGACATCCCCTGCGCTTCTAACTGTGCACTACAGTGCCAAGCTGAAAGTACTGAAGATCCCTAAGAGCTTTTTATGATTTGCAAACTACATGGCTCATGTTAACCAGAGTGATGAAGACCAAACACATCAGCCAATGTTGAACCGTTGGCAGCTTTTAACACTGAGTTTCTTGCATTTTTTGAAAAACTGTTCTTTCACACTTATAATATTATGTCATAAAGGCTCTTGTACTGTGATAGCTTGTATGCATTCATTGCTTTGCAAGACTAAGAGCACGTAACAGAACATCCAAAATACAGAAAGTTAAAAAAATGTTGGCACTTCTACCAGTACAACAAATGGAAATAGGTTTCTTGCTAATGTAACTCCATACATTTACATCATACACTGGCATTTTGTGATTTGCAAAACCATGAGGGGGGAAATGTTTTAGAAAAGCCTAAATTTTGATTTTTGAATGTATATCTGAATTAAAATTCTTTGAAACATTCTTTTGTTTTCTAAGGTCTCCAAGCTTGGATTCTGCCTAGATTTCTATGGGAGAATGGGGAGGGGGGAATTTTTGCCAATTCCTTCCTCCTGTGGCAGCTAACAACATACAACAAAATGTTGTTCCTTGGGGGGCAGAGGTCTCCAGTATAGCTTGGGGGGGATTGAAGGTCCGGGGGGGGGGGATTGGCAAAAATCTCCTCCACCTCCTTGCGCACACGGAACTCTACACGGGATCTAAATCCCTTTTCCAATAACATTACAGTGCAATTACTTGCACCAGTTAAAGCATTTGGACTTCAGATCTTTTCCGCCCTCCTTCTAAATGTTTAACATACATACAACAATCAACAAATGTAACACAATCACTGTCTCAGGAATTTAAAGTCACAGAATTTTTTTTACCATGCAGTCCATATTCTCTTATGTTATATTACTGGTCTCCAAACAAGATTCAGATTTCAAAATATAACATAATAATTCTTCTAAAGGCTGTTAATTTTACCTTGGCTACAATCCTGTGCTTTGTTACCTGAAGGCAGTGAGATATTTAATCAGCCTATATGTGGGACTGCAACTTTTATGCATACTACAAAAAAAACCCAAGGAGAAAATACACAGGGGAAAACGTATTTTATACGATTATGTGAAAAATGAGACTGGGAACACAGTGTGGACTTCCAGCCCCAGGACCCCAAAAATTAGTTTGCTAAGAATAGCCCAATCTCATCAGATCTCTGAAGCTAAGCGGAGTCAGCCCTGGCTATTATTTGGATGGGAGACCTCCAAGGAATACCAGGGTCATGACGCAGAGGCAGTCAATGGCAAACCACCTCTGGTCTCTTGCCCTGAAAACCCTACACGGTTGCCAGAAGTCTGCTGTGACTTGACAGCATTTTCTACCACAAAGGAAGTAAACCCATATTTTTTCTTAAGAAAGCAGATGGCTAGAACATTGGTAAAGAAAACAGACATAAGACTACTTGTAAGTGACATGAGAGAGAGAGGGAGAGAGGGAGAGAGGGAGAGAGAGAGAGAGAGAGAGAGAATGACGACCCTGTTCATATTCCTGCATTATATGTTCTCACTTAGTCAGATCCTATGCAAGAACTGTGTTCATTTGGTTACCCCTGATACTTCCCTTTATACAAATAAGAGCAAATCCACAAATTCAAACTGTTATCTCAGTCATCAAAACACAGATCCCAAAGCTCATGCAAAAACAACAAAGCATCTTGGAGGACTAACAGCTTCATCAAATTAAGTCGGATTGTTGCCACCTTCCATCTAGGCTCCCAAATCCCAAGTATCTGAAGGCAGAGGCCAAGGTCTGTAGTGAATCATCCTGTGATAACAATGATGATTTCACATATTAAAAGTTCCGACAGAATTTGTCTCCTTTGACTTATCTGGCAGGTCACCAGACTGGGTGCTTTTGTTATGAATGACAACTCCCATTTCAGCCTTCATATCGAGCCAGCAAAGTTGTGGGATTCAATGAGCAACTATAATAATTGAAAGCATTTTTCAGTGCTCAGCTTAACTGCATGGAGATTCTCTAATACAATTACGTTTGGTGTAGTGGTTAAGTGCATGGACTCTAATCTGGGAGAACCCGGGTTGATTCCCCACTTCTCCACTTGCACCTGCTGGATAACCTTGGGCAAGCCATAGTTCTGTCAGAGCTGTTCTCTCAAGGACAGTTCTGGAAAGAGTTCTCTCAGCCCCACCTACCTCACAGGGTGTCTGTTGTGGGGAGGGGAAGGGAAAGGAGTTTGTAAGCTGCTCTGAGACTCCGAGTGAAGGGCGGGGTATAAATCCTATCTCTTCTTCTTCTTCTAAGTTGAGTGAACCAGATTTTAAAGCCATCTTGTGGAGCACTGCCACACAGAAACAATTTTCAACAAGCTTCTGCTTGGGTACCACAATATCCAAATTGGCTTTTCAGAGTACATGTTCATGCTTCAGGGTGACTCAGCACAGAATGTGCTTTTTGTTCCACATTGCATACAGATTGGTGGTAGTCTGACTCCAGGTTCTGCTTCTAATGATTTAGTGTAACCGCATTGATTTTTGAAATACCAACCACACACAAGGGACTAAACATATGCATGCAGAACACCATTGCTTCAGGCAGTCATGCTGAAGAGAACCTAGTATACTTGAAGATGTAAAGGAAATTCACATCTAAGGTAACAGGTAGCTAATGTTTTTTTAAAAGTTCTAATGACACAGAAGAGCTTCTGTGAGCTATCTACCACACTGGAAAACGTCTCTGTTGAAAGCAGAAGGAAAAGTCTTGCCAGTATTTTGGGTGTTAATTCAATCTGAACCCTGCCCCTCCATCAACTCCTGGGTTCTATCTAGAAGAAAAGCAAACAAGACCTCTTAAAAACCACACTCATTAAGGGCCAATGGAGGCCTGTGTACATTACCAGTCCCATTAATGGGGCCATCCAAACACAGAGAGCGGCAGGACACAATTCATTCCTTGATACGGCAGAAAGTTTATCAGTGAGGTCACACTTTTATTAGCAATGTCTTTTACCTTTGTGATCTGGGTAGTGGTAGTGCTGCTGGTGGTCTCTGAAGTGATGGTCTGAGCAGTTAGCAGAATTCCAGGGTCTAAATCCCCACTGCCATCATCAGTCTATGGCAGAGACACACAACAAGTATAAATCAAATCCTTGCTCACCTATGGCGAGTAGGCTGTTCAGCAAAGGAGGCCATACTGATAAGGTGTAATAAGCTTCAGAATGCTGCTAATCTGCATGTATTTTTAATTGATAAAATCTGCATGAATGTGGTAGGTACCACTGGTCAGGAAAAGTCTTGCTTATTTATGATCTCAAGTACACAGCTATCCAGCACCAGATTCCCGCCTTATGTGAGACCAAAACATGGACAGACTTCACACATTATAAATACAGATTTGTTAGTATTTCTAAATAGAGTTTGGGGAGCCAGTGCAGTATAGAGGTTAAGCGTGTCAGACTAGGATCTGGGAGATCAAGGTTCAAATCCCCACTTTGCCATGAAAATCTGCTGGGTGACCTTGGACCAGTCACATACTCTCAGCCGAACCTACCTGAGAGTGTTGTTGGGAGGATAAAATGGAGAAGAAAAAAATGTTGCAAGCCACTTTGGATCCCCATTGGAGAGAAAAGTGAGATATAAATGAAGTAAAATAAAATAAAATTTGACCAAAGGCAACCTTGCCAATATATTCAGACTCCATATTCCCAAATTAAGGATTTCTACATCTTTTCTAAGCAGATGGTTTTCACTGATCCGGATTTAGCTTGGTTACAGGTCAATTTTATACTTATTACAATTAAGATAGATCTATGTAGGTTAGGAACATATGTTTTACTCATATTCTCACACCAGAATAACAAAGTGTTTTGGAAAAATAAAACATACTAATTTCAGCATATTCTTTCATGGGTTAGAGATTATTTCATCAGATGCATGAAATGTACATCCACAGGAGATAAAGTTACAAGCAACAGAAAGGTGTAAGTGGGCCAGTTAGCAACAATAAAAAGTGCTTTGGATGCTTGCTTTTGAAAATAGCCACTGTCCCATTTTGCTGAATATAAGCATAATTTTGAATGTGAAACAGATGAGCAGAATACACAGTGGGCATTTAGAGAAGCCCAACCAACTTGTCCATCAGCCAAATGGCTTGGGCTATATAAATTTGTAGGAAAGACATATGACAGCCACATTTTCAAACTAATCTCTGCAACTAGGAGGACTAAGAGAACTAGAATGTGCACAGATAGCACAGTACAGCATTTTAATCGTATTTTGCCACAAAGAAACCCTATGCTCAGCAAAATGCTCTAAAGCTCTTGTGCCTTCATGCTCCCAATGGTTCAAATGGTTCCACTGTATAGAGACAGAATCACAAAGACATACCTAAGCATACCTTAACCCAGCACTTGGGCATAATACACACTAAACAGGAATACTTTGTGTCATCAGAATGTGATGAGGATATCCATGCCTGTTTGATAAATGAGTTTTGCTAGGCTGTGTACAGATATAACTTCCTCTGGCCAACAGGGGCTGTAGCCCAATCCCCCTTCAGGAAGAAGGAAGAGGAGAAAAGACTTGCTACCATAGGGGGAGATGGGTTGGTCCATAAAAACAATAAAAGATTTAAAAAGCAAGAAGAAGCTGTGGTGCTGGAGAAAGGGGATGCATTTGGTTTTGTCAAAACAGACTGAACTATAATTACTATTGCATATGTCCTATAAGCATCATGGCTTACCACTTCACACTGGCAGATAAATGCCAGTTTTCCCAAAATTTAATACACATATCTGTTACCCCAGTTTGCTGACATACCTGTTCATTATGAGATGAATGGATGACTTATTGCCTTAAAAAAGAAACTAAAAAGAGGGTATGAAGAACTCTGTGACATGCCAAATGTGATACCTACAGAGTAGCCGCTAGGTGGAAGCAACTTCCATGCAAGTCAAAGTATTTCAGAGCCTTCCAAACACTTAAAAATGTAACTATCATGTTTAAGGGTTCCCAACCTGACTAACAGGGTTCCAATCTGACAGGTTATCTTCCAGTTCTACTTGTAACCTCCATAAACTCATCTGTTGGAACAAGACAGGAAATTGGCCAGCTGGGCTTTACTAAAGGGAGGTGACTGAATGCTGTCACAGTAATTGGGTACCCAACAGCAACTTGTTCAAGTTAATCTCTACAAAGCTTCTCTCACAGACAGTAAATCTCTAAGAAAGAGGTCACCAAATCACACCCTGGAATTTTTAACATGAATCTGTTTTTTAAAAGCTATGATATATTAAACCATTTAAATATATGCTCCTGTCTGTAGAGAGGAATGCTTTAATATGCTACCTGTATCAGTCTATACATAACTTCGGGTATGTGCCAGCTAAAAAATTAATGTGCTCCTTCCAGTAGCCTGCTTCTCCCCATCATCCACATATTATTAGTATTGGATGCAATTCTAATCCATGGTCTCTACTAAAAGGCACTTGAAACAGTGTACAATTAAAAACAATAAAATGGTCATCGTAATGTCCTACAACACTAACAATAAAAGCGCTGCTACATTAAAACTGGCTAAAAGGAGATGGCTTTAACAGGGGATTACACAAATTCAGAGGACAGCTCTATCAATGGCTATTAGCTGCAACGGCTGAATGGAACCACCCTGTTCAGAAGTGCCACTTAATACAAGTTATTTGGGGGGGGGGGGGCACAACCATGAGCAAATAGCTATTACCTTCTTGACCTGCTTGTGTGCTTTTCAGAAGCACTGTGGGAAACAGGATCCTAGCATGGTATAGTGGTTAAAGTGTCAAAGTAAGTTCTGGGAGACCCAGGTTCGAATTCCTAGTCTGCCATGAAAACGTGATGAGTGGCCTTGAACGCCTAACTTGATGGGTGACCTTGGACACCTAATCTATCTCATAGAATGGTTGTGGCTCTGAGGAGAAAACGGAGGAGAGGAAAACTGTGCCTCACTTTGGGTCCCCATTGGGGTGAAAGGCATGGCATAAATGAAATAAATAATTACAAGGCAGACCTTTGGTTTGAACTAGCAAGGCTATTACAGTTACTTTTAAAGGCATTTCTTGGTGAACATATTTTTCACCTGTTGACAGAAAAGCAACAAAGAAGAAGCCAGATATATCTCCCAAGGAAGTGCATTCCACAGAATGGGTGTTGCCACTAAGAAAGCTTTGCCTTGTATCCTTGTCAACTTCAATTAAGTCAAGGACAGAACAGGAAATCTGTTGATCTCAGGGAACAAGGAGGAACACACAACAGCAAACTGTCCCTAAAGACTGTGGGCTTTAAAAGATTGCAACCAGTACTTGGAACCGGAAAGCAAATGCTTGAAACAAACATTTGTTCATTTGTCCATCTATATCCCAACCTTTCAAATCATGTTTGGAGATGCTTACAATGCAGAGTAAAAGCTGTATTGGTGTAACAAACACAACAGAACAGCCTATAAAGCTCTTGACAGGTCCCAGTAGACAAGTCAGAAACATTATTTTTAAAAAGACATCTGGGAAAGCCCTGTGAAATAAGGAAGTTTTTGCATGTATTTCTAAAAATTGCTAGGCCCCTCAAACAGATGGCCACTGTAATCCATTACAGAGGTTGGAGGAGCATGTGTCAGCAAGTTCAAAGTAACCTTGGAAAGCCTAACTTGGATCAGAGCAGTGGCAATGTGACAAAGGTATCTGGAAGCTCTACCCATTCACCTCCAAGCTATTTTATCAGTCTAAAAGGCCTCTCTAAAAGTGCTATTTGTCACACAGGAGAAAAATATGTAGGCCTTCATATGAGCAAGTATGTTCAGCTTTGAAGATACATTTTAAACAAAAAAAAATGGCACAGGGGAAAAATTAGTCATCCTCTCCCCCAGCACTGCTTTACTTCGTGGACTTCTTATATGTCTCACCTAGCTTAGCTCTAAGAAATAAGAGTGAAGCAGAGAGTAACTGCTAAAGACATAATCCTTTAGTTTTGATACAGAACTGGAGATAGATGGGACACTATGTGCCTCTACTAACACACCAAAAGCAAAGCCCTTGCCTAAGTGTGCAGTCTTACTCTGGAATTAAAGAAATACATTTAGGATCTGTGTGCCAGTCTAAAGGTTTGAGTTCATATTTTTAGTGAATATTTTAATCTTTCCTCTTTAACATGCATGAGAAAATCCAAACAAACTGTACTACTACAGTACCATCGTATTCAAGACTTCCTACCTGTGCAGCTTCATAAGTTATAGTCTTGGTCTCTGTGTGGACAATAGGAACTTCTTTAGTTGGAATTTCACTTTTCACAGAACTTGACACATCAGAGATAGTAACAGTCTGAGTCTTCACAAGGGGCGGCTACAAAATAGGATTTCAGAAACAAAACAAATTTATCATCATTATATACCATTACCCCCATTGAGATGCATTCTGATACTGATCTGATAAAAGCACAATGGACTCACTTGCGAAATCTCAACGTTAATCTCAACTGCACTCAAATCACACATTAAAAGTGGTTAGCTGTTCCAATTGTGAAGATAAAAGTTTGGTAACAAAATGCAAACGTTAAGGCATTTTTCTCTCAGTTCCTGGCCAGACAACCATTTCTGCAAACTGAGACAAGGAAAACTGATTCAGTGTTAAAGAATAAACCAAACAAAATATGTGGAGTATGGATATCTATTGATTGGAGGAGCTTAACTCAGCCTACGTGCCAATATATTCATTTGCTCAGAAGACAGACAGGCTTAATTACACAGGAGGGAAAATACTCAAGTGAGTGCAGAGACAAGAACTACATTGTGAAAAATGTGAAGCCCACTAGGCTTTTCTAAAATCAGTGTCAGATCATCATTTATGATACGTGTAGCTCAAGAATAACAGAAAAAGGAAGATCAGTTGTGCCACCACCTGATAATTAGCCAAGAAGAGAATGTAATATTAGCAAGAACATCACAAGGCTTCACCCATTCAGTCAAGTCCCATCCACCTTTTCAAAATCTGAGATCACCTTGATTATTAGTAAGTTCAGATACCTTAATAGATGGTATTAATGGTCAGAACACTGAAGCAGGCAAGATATTCACCATGATTGGACAGGGATTTTGTGTGAGTGTATGTGAGAAGACTCCCACATCTGATGACTACTGACCAGATGAATAAGACCTGAGACTAGAGCTACATTTTGTTCTGCATTTTCTGCAATTTATTCACAACACACATCAGGCATATAAGACATAGCTGATAATTTTAGGTTCCCCTGTCTTTGCAATACATGATGCTTCAATTGAGAGAATGCATTTTTTCAAGTAAGCCATTTTAGTATAAGGGTGAAGTTGAGACTCATTTCCTACAAACTGTATGAGATTAAGTATCTGATTCCCTTGGGGAATTATTTCAGGCCATCTAGAACATAAGCCTTCTTCGTGGATTTGTGGCATATGCTTGCTGCAGTGTTTGGGGATCGATTCCAGAAAATGAAGCAGAGGAAACTGTAAAGGGAGATGTTTTGAGTAGACATTTACTACCTGGAAACAGCGAATGAGGTCAGGAAATTCATTATCAATATTTAAGCTGTGACTGTTTTCATTTAGTTTTCTAAGCAGTTCTCTTGAATTTTGTTTCTTTTCCACATCACATGCCTCCTCTTGTTCATGGGTCTGCACTGGAGGTGAAGTAGGGATTATAGAGATCTCCACCTCAGTCTGCTTTTCCACATCTGAATAAAATCCCTTTTCACTCCTTAGGTCTTCCTCACTCTCAATGAGAGCAGTAGCACCCTCCTCCTCCTTGCTGCTTATACCAGCAATAGTGCCATTTTCATGAGTCTGTGCAGGCTCCTGGGTAGCTGACACTGAGCTCTCACTAAAGCCTACTGAGTGCTTTGAGACCTCCCATTCAAAGTTGGAGGCAATATTTTCCCCCTCTGCCACTGCATCCTCATCCTCTTTGAAGGGAGAGTCACTCATGCTCTAAAAGAAAACAAAATATGAAAAAGGCCAGAAAGAATTAGGAAAAAGGTGTATTGGATCTGGAAACAGGAAAAAAAATCAACACTTGGTTTCTGGTCTTCAAACCTTTTCAGATTGACTACTTTATGAGCAGCTAGACACACTGGGATTGACAGCTCTGCATAACCTGAGAGAAGGTCTTCTTTGGCAAGAGTAGCACAGTTGGCATAAGGTTCTCCCTTTGCTGGAATGGCTATCCCAGGCCTAGCTGTTATTAAAATGATCATCCCCTCTAACTGTAGTAACTTATAGCATTTCAATGGAAATCATGCCTTCTGACAGATAAGGAACTGGGTGGGGGTGTTGCTGGACCCTGTCAACCATGCTCCAGCCACTTGTTCTGTGCCAGAAGGGAAACAACACCAGAACTGGGGCCATGGGATCGCCATGGGATTCTTCTGGGATCACCACAAGTATCAGTACCACAGAAAGCACAGCAACCACATATGCCAGGCTGGTATTCTCTCTGCATCTACATTTCATCAGTTTCTGAATCTGATCACCATTCTTTCTAAAACAAAATATGAAAGGTTTGCCTAAGATCTTTTTATAGAAAAAAGCAAGTAAAGAGAGACATGAGAGAGGCCTATAAAATTATGCATGGCCAACTCTGGCCTGGGAAATTCCTGGAGATTTGAGGGAGGGCTCTCAGTGGGGCATGATGTCATAGATCCTACCCTCCAAAACAGCTATTTTCTCTAAGGGACCTGCTTTATATTGTCTGGAGAGCAATTGTATTTCTGGGAAATCTCCAGCCCCCACCTGGAGTTTTGCAACCCTAAAAAGTAGACAGGTAGAAGCGTTTCTCCCTCTCCTATAATACTAGAACTCAGGGTGGGTGTTTCAAGAGAGACAAAAGGAAGTACTTCTTCACAATGTGTATAGTTAAACTGTGGAACTCACTGCCAACTTGGAAAGTTTTAAGAGGGAAGCAGACAAACTCAGGGAAGACAGGGTTACCAATGGCTGCTAGTCATGATGGATATCTACTACCTCTCTGTATCGGCTCGTGGGGAGCACAGGCAGGACGATGCTGTTGTAATCTTCCTCCTTGTGGGCTTCCTCGAGGAAGCTGGTTGGCCACTGAATGAACAAAATGCTGAACCTGATGGGCCTTTGGACTGATCCAGCATGGCTTTTCTTATGTAGAGAGCTGTTACCTAAAGACATTCTCTCTTGAAATTATTTCAGGGGTGAGGGACAATTTTTCCACAGTTAAAGTTCTAATGAGAAGTGATTCCCATTTTTGTGAACAAAACTATGAGTCACCTTTGTGTTGAAGAACAGAAGAACAGGCATGGCTTTAAAGGAGATGGCATCTCATTTTTTGAAGATACTTGATACAAAGAGAATCTCAAGACGAACAGACACATTTTAAAAAAACATGCTGTGTAGACAACAGGAGGTGTGAAGTGCACATCACACCAGATGCCAATTCATTTCCCCCATTAACTATTCATAATGGCTTTGTTTGTCTGAACTTCAGGTATCATACTTGACTACAGAGATGCTACATTTAAAAACCCTTGCAACACCAACTCTTTTTCTTTACAGTAAAGTCAGTGACATTACAAAAAAAAAATGGTGCATAACAAAAGGTATCCAGTCTTCCTAAAAGAAAGCAAGTGTGTCCATAGCATCTGAGATACTTTGGAAGACTGTGCCAAGCCAGAGGATTTAACCAAGGCTGGTGCTATTCTGTCTTCCATCGTTCGCCTGTTAGAAAGTTCTCAACTAGGTCGTCATACATCTTTGCGAGCCCGCCAGTCAGAACTTGAAGGAAAGCAATAGTGATAGAAGAAAAGACAAAAAGTTAAAACATGCAGAAGACCAGAAGATGTGCACAAAATTAGCCATTCCCCAATTGTCCACTGCTTACGTCAATTTTTCTTTTATGGGAGTTGGATTGAGGGGAGTACCACAAGGCACTTTTCCAGAGGGCAGGCTACAATTTTAAAGGGGGATATTTTTCTACACTAAATTTTCTACACTGAAGTACAAGAGTTGTAGGTAAAGGCAATAAATGGCATTTGCTATTACAGGATCCCCCCTCATGGATCACTGCCTTGTCGTGGCGAGGGGGCTTGCATGGTTCGATGAGGCTGTGGGCTATGCCATGGAGGACCACGCAAGACGGACAGGCCACAGCAGAGAACTCAGACCAAGCGTGATGCCCTGGAGAAGGAAATGGCAACCCACTCCAGTATTTTTGTCAAGAAAACCCCATGGACAGTATCAAAAGGCTAAAAGATATGACGCCGGAAGATGAGCCCCTCAGGTCGGAAGGTGTCCAATATGCTACTGAGGAAGAGCAGAGGACAAGTACAAGTAACCCCAGAAAGAGTGAAGCGGCTGGGCCAAAGCCGAAAGGACCCTCAGTTGTGGATGTGTCTGATGGTGAAAGGAAAGTCCAATGCTGCAAAGAACAATACTACATAGGAACCTGGAATGTAAGATCTATGAATCAAGGTAAGCTTGACATGGTCAAAAAAAGATATGACGCCGGAAGATGAGCCCCTCAGGTCGGAAGGTGTCCAATATGCTACTGAGGAAGAGCAGAGGACAAGTACAAGTAACCCCAGAAAGAGTGAAGCGGCTGGGCCAAAGCCGAAAGGACGCTCAGTTGTGGATGTGTCTGATGGTGAAAGGAAAGTCCGATGCTGCAAAGAACAATACTGCATAGGAACCTGGAATGTAAGATCTATGAATCAAGGTAAGCTTGACGTGGTCAAAAATGAGATGGCAAGACTGAACATCGATATCCTAGGAATCAGTGAACTAAAGTGGACAGGAATGGGCGAATTTAACTCAGAAGACCATTATATCTACTACTGTGGCCAGGAATCTCGTAGAAAAAATGGTGTGGCCTTTATAGTCAACAAGAGAGTGCAAAAGGCAGTACTGGGATACAATCTCAAAAATGACAGAATGATTTCTGTCCGATTCCAAGGCAAACCATTCAACATCACAGTAATTCAAGTGTATGCCCCAACCACTGATGCAGAAGAGGCTGAAGTGGACCGGTTCTATGAAGACCTACAACACCTCCTAGAACTAACACCAAAAAATGATGTCCTCATCATCATAGGGGACTGGAATGCTAAAGTAGGAAGTGAAAAGGTAACTGGAATAACAGACAAGTTTGGCCTTGGAAAGCAAAATGAAGCAGGGCAAAGGTTAACAGAGTTTTGTCAAGAGAACACACTGGTCATAGCGAACACCCTTTTCCAACAACCTAAGAGGCGACTCTACACATGGACATCACCAGATGGGCAACACCGAAATCAGATTGACTATATAATTTGCAGTCAAAGATGGAGAAGCTCTATCCAGTCAGTAAAAACA